TGGTTGGACTGGTCGAATAATAATAAAATATAAAATATAATAATTTAGCTAAAAAGATATAAAACATATACCTAATACATATAATTTATCATAAATTAATTAAGTATAAAAAAATACCTCTGTTAAAAATGAAAAATACTGTTAAGAAAGTTCTTAACATCAGTTGACAAAAATACTAAAAAAAAAACAATTAAGTTAACCAAGTAACCAATAGCCTGAGAGAGAAAGGAAACCTCCACTCAGTTAAAGCACAAAAGAGGAGCGAAAAAGCTTAAAAGAGGAGCGAAAAAGCTTGAAGGACCGAAACTGTGAAGCCTAAAGGACCGCTGACCGAAGCTGTGACCTGTGAAGCTTGAGCAATGAGAGATCCAGTGGAGAAGGAGTTGCTCGATCAACCCTGAGTGGAGAAGACGATGGAGTGAAGCTTGATCTGTGAAGCTGTGGCCTGTGAAGCTTGGTCTGGTCTGAATCGTATAGAGTCTGATCTAGTCCACCAATGCTTGAGTGGAGAAGACGATGGAGTGAAGCTTGATGTGTGAAGCTTGGTCTATGAAACTGTGACTTGTGAAGCTTGGTCTGGTCTGAATCGTATACAGTCTGGTCTAGTCCACTAACGCTTGAGCGGAGAAAATGATGGAGATGACTGAAATTAGAGAAAAAAATAGGGATTTGGGGGGTTTTTATGAAAAAGGCAGCAGAACCGTTCGGTTAACGATTTTTGTCAAAAATTGGCCGATTTGACGCTTTTATTCCAGTTTAACTCTTTAACCGATTCAATTCAAGAATCGGACCGGCTAACATCCCGGTTCATGGTCGATCTGGTCCGATTTGGATAACACTGTAATAATTTTAGCAACAAACACGTCTAAACAAACAATCTAGTTAAATGTTAGTTTTTATTTCTTTAATTAATCACAATCACGTTTTAGATGTACTATAATGAGATAATAACTGATTGTATGAAAATTTAAAAAAAAAAATTTTATTATCCTCCATTTGGTAAGAATGATAGAAAATAGGAATGATACAGTTTTTTTCCTTTGTGTTTGGTAAGATGAATGAAAAATAAAAATAATTATTATTTTTTTTTGTGCTGGCTAAAATTAGGGGTGACAATCGAGTCCTGCTATGTCAAGTTCGAGTCGAGTGATTACAGGTTTGTGNGACTTTAATTAAATTTTAGTCAGTTCTAATTTTAATACGTACAAAAATTTATAAGATGAAAAGAGTCTCATTGAATATATGTCTATCTAGAGGGGGTGTGGGTGAGATTTTTTCTAAAATATATTATAGACACTTTAGTAAAATTATATTCTAGTTAAACTCTTTAACTTGACAAGAGGTACATATGAATATTCAAAAACTAGAGAGTATAATTGAAGATATGATAAATTAGAGGGAGTGTGAATAAAATTTTCCCTAAACAAAGAGAAAAACGAAAAGCCCAAACCCAATTTTATTTTTTTTTTGGGAAAATTGGAAGAAGGTACACTCAATTAGACTTAATTGTGAAAAAATATATATAAAAATATATTGGGTAATTAAGTCCTTAATTTTGATATTTATTTGTATCAAAGTACATTATTTGAATTTTACTGATTTTTTTGTAACATTTTTGCCCTCTATTAATCCATGTATATTTAATGCACCACTTTTCAAAGAAAACTTTATAGGAAACCTTTAATATATATATTAATATATATATATATACACACTTATATAAATACGTATCTATGTATGTATGTATATACTTGTTACATCTCTTATCTTAATTTTGAATTATCTTTTAATGCACCTTAATTCATGCATTTTTTTTTAGAAAGTGATTTTATTTTTAAATTATTTTAATATCCAAATAGTGTAATAATGTAATAATAAAAATATAACAGTGTAATAATAATAGTGTAATANAAGTGATTTTATTTTTAAATTATTTTAATATCCGAATAGTGTAATAATGTAATAATAAAAATGTAATAGTGTAATAATAAAAGTGTAACAGTGTAACAGTATAACAATAACAGTGTAACAAGCTATTTACATAAAATATTGTACTATTACATTTTGTTAAACATATAGTTTCACATAATTTCATTCAAAATAGTTCATCTCTGTTTTGAATTTGTTACCATATGTACAAAATTATTGAATATTGTTTTTGCTACAGTGTATTTGTTATACTATTACACTATTCAGATANGAGAGAGAGAGAGAGAGAGAGGGAGAGCGCTTTTACTGCTAGGTTTAGGGGCTAGTACTAGTCCCGNTCATCTCTGTTTTGAATTTGTTACCATATGTACAAAATTACTGAATATTGTTTTTGTTACAGTGTTTTTGTTACAGTGTATTTGTTATACTATTACACTATTCAGATATTAAATTAATTTAAAAATAAAACCATTTTCAAAAAAAAAACGCTTGAATTAAGGTGCATTAAATATAATTTAAAAATAAAATTACTTTCCAAAAAAAAAAATACGCATGAATCAAGGTGCATTAAAGATAATTCAAAATTTAAATAAGAGATTTAACAACAAATGTATATATATATATATATATATAATTGTTTATTTATATACATATTTACATGTATTAACAAATACACATGAATTAAGGTGCATTAAATACGTATTTATATATATTAACAAACATACATGAATTAAGATGCATTAAAGATAAGAGAGTTTGAATTAAATGACCCTAAAATAGGCATTTATTTCTTTGTAACTCAGCTGTGTATTTTTTTTCAAAATATTTTGTTCTATGTACTTTTTGTTAAATAAGTCTAATTAGGTGTACCGGTTTCCAAAGAACTTTTTTTTTCTTTTTTCAAATAAAAATAAATGGGCCCATCAATCTAACTGTTTTGAAGCACAATAAATACAAGTCCAATAGTATCATCTGCGACATATTAATGATGAAAAAAGAAAAAAAAAATTGATTTGAATACAAGATAAGTGATCTAAAGTCAACGAAAAGAGTAACGCTCCATTGAAACCTAAAAATTGTATTTAATCTATTGAGCTAATGATATGATTTTATTATAACCGTTAAATTAGCAATAAATTTTAATATTTGATAAAATTCATAATCAATTCAAATGAATATAGTAAATTAGTTAAATAAATTATATTAATAAATTAAGTCTCAACAGCCAATAACATTGCTCTAAATTGAAACAGGTCAAAGACAACATGTTTGCATGCAGGCAAAGGGACACAATATATGACTCGGTAATTCGTATGTCATTTCAGTGAAAAATGCTGCTTCTGATTTTCCAACCTACGGGGCCGGTCCACGTTTACATCTCTTCTCGTAAGTACAACGGCGGCCGATGGTAGGAATGCAATTTCCATAAATGCTACTGTTGCACACAGCCGAGCCCGGATTAAGACTTTTGACTGCGAAAGAATGGTGGGCTGAGACAGGACTGGGGACGGAGAGAGGAGGACGTCGCTTAGTTGCAGAAGGGGCCGTACTTGAGGGGCGTCCTGCTACTCTCACCTTACTGGGCTTATCTGCAAAAAAAAAAAAAATCATGAAAATGAAATATCAGTGAGAGAAAAAAAAAAAGAGGGAGAGAATATCCGATGTGACTATGCCACTTAGGACTGTTAACGGATCTTGGTCTATCTAAATTTGAATTTAGTAAAAAGCATTGTAGTTTTGAATCCAATTCGTTTATCCAGCAAACTTTAAAATCTTAATTCATATTCGCATCGGTTAATAATCTTAAATTATGATTATCCGATCTAATTTTAAAATTTGAATCTTAACAAAATTTCATAAAAAATTAATAATTTTATCAAATTTTAGTTAACTTTCAACTTAATTTAATTAACTAATTATTCTATTAAATAATTAATGTTTAGTTTCATGTCAATCTCATTAATAATCGAACTTATATATATATATAGATATGAGATCAATTTTGTATTGAATCAAATTTACATGTATTTAAATTCAAATCCATTTTAAAAAATATAATCAAACTCAAATCAAATTCGAGTAAACATATTACAATATTAATCCATATCCGATTAAATAAACTCGGATTCGGATTAATCATCTTCCTATGCCTGTCTGCAAAAAAACAGTGAGAGAGAGAGAGAGAGAGAGAGAGAGAGAGAGAGAGAGAGAGAGAGAGAGAGCGCTTTTACTGCTAGGTTTAGGGGCTAGTACTAGTCCCGCGGGGACGATGATGAGCCAAATGATGAAGCAGCAGCATACGATCATGAAAGCAAGGGAAGAAGGAGTTTTGTATGACATTTTTGCAATATGATCTGAGGGAGGATGCATGGGCATGGCAACCACAAACGTTTATATATATGCCTTCCACCACATGAACTTGATAAGGGTGAAAGAAGACTCCAAAGACTTGTGTTTGGGAAAATTATGCTTTGACCACCTAAGTATGATTATTTTTAATATTACCCCTTCAACTATTATTTTTTAAAAATTTTGAGTTTCGATATCTTTCCTATATCCAAATNCCCCTTCAACTATTATTTTTTAAAAATTTTGAGTTTCGATATCGTTCCTATATCCAAATTCACTATTTATTTATTTAGTTATTATAGCGGGATGACCTTTCGTGACCAACACGTGATTTGGGTAAATGAGTATATTTATCTAGTGAAAAAACTTGTTTACATAGGTTAGAGAACCTTAAATTATTTCATTTGATTTGAAGAAAAAGAAGATAACAAACCCAAAAAAAGAAGATATAAAGTGAAAATTTGAGATGTACCATAACACCAAGAAATTTATATCTATTTATCTAAGAGAGATATTTTACACTGAATAAATATACTTTTACAAACCAGTCATGTGATATCCCTCTATCAAAATAAATTAATAAATCTGAATGGAATAATTGAATTAAAACTCTGTTAAAACATTTAGGATGTAATTATTGCAATTGAAACTTTAGAGACTAAATAAAAATTAGTTGTATGCTTTAAGGATATAAATTATAAATTACCCCAACAATTAACATCCCTAATAAATTTGACAATTTTTTTTTATTTTGTCCTCCAAACTATGTAATTTGTTTCATTTTACCCCCGACACATTGAAAATTTTTGTCGAAAAAGATAACTAACATTTACATACAGAGTAGTGTGAAATAATTCAAATAGTTGATGAGGCAATGTAAAAAATTTAATAGTTTAAGTGGCAAAATAAAATAAAATCCATAATTAAAGGGATCAAAGTATAATTTTCCTAACTCATTTTAAAAGTTGGAAAATTTGCTCTTTGTGACTTCGAAATGGTAGGTTGACTACTGGGAGAGTGGCAAATACGTCGATGACTGCCAGCTTCATGGAGATGGAGATGTCTCTCGCATGACATTTTGTGATCAAGCATATAATTATTTTTTATGTATATTTATATATTGATATATAAATATAATTAAGTATTAAAACAAATAATAATATATCAATAATAGAGAAAAATATATATATAGAAAGTGTGAGGAGAAATTTAATAGAGAGTCACAATTCCCTAAAAATTAGTTACAAGACAAAAAAATCCTTACGTGATTCATTAATATAATAGATTGTTTACCGTGTATTCAAATAGAACTACTATCTATAAGTGAGCTTGTCATTTATACATTGCGAGTAATCTATGATTGAATGAAATTGAGTAAATATGATAGATATCTGTGCTATGTCTAAGCTGTTTTCTGCCACCACGTGAACTAGATAAGGGCAAGACTTAAACCACTGGGTTAATTGCACGCTTGTGCCTAGAGTTTAGGGGGTTAATAACACAAATTTCTTTCCGAAAGTGTTAATGTGATTCATGTCACGACTCACCCAAAAGNTTAAATTATATCTCAATAGCATTACTCAAAAACATTTTATTGCAACTTTGGTATGAGAAATAAGTTCATTTTAGATTCATTTTGAAATAAGTTCTAAATTTACTTTTTAGACTCATTTTCACCCTGGAGACTTCATGGAAAAAACTAGTAGGAACAATCAATAGATCCCGACTAAATTTGTGGTTCACCGTTAATTGAATAATTATGATTAATGAAGCCAATAAATTATGTACAAGTAACGTTGTTATTGCTATAATAAAATAGAACTTTTCGCAAGCTGTCCCATGGAATTAGAGCTTTCCCTATATTTGGCAAACTACAAGCCTGGATGACATAATTGTGTGTCTTTTTGGGTTCTTTTGGAAAAGTGCCTAGTCTTTAGGTGTCACACCCCAATTGACTTGGGTGCAAATGGCCGGTCTTGGTGACACCTTACTCCAAGACATACTAGAAATTAGAATCAAGGTGACGTGACTAAGTGGTTCGATAGATTGGGACGAACCAAGGCAGCATGAGACCACCCGGTTGAGTATGGCAGCATGTGGTGGGTGCATAGCTTCGGATTGCATGGCATGGGTTGAACCCAGCATGCACATTGGTTCGTGTAGCAAGGCTGACTACTGAATGTTGGCACATGACTGCTAAATGTGGGCACCTGATTGGCACATAGCTGCTCAATGCATATGACCAAGAAGATGTGGGCAGTTATGATATTGAGACACAGTCAAGGCAGTTGCTGAGGCAGTTCTGGATGTTCNTGTGGGCACCTGATTGGCACATAGCTGCTCAATGCATATGACCAAGAAGATGTGGGCAGTTATGATACTGAGACACAGTCAAGGCAGTTGCTGAGGCAATTCTGGATGTCCCTAATCTGAATCCAGTCTAGATGCATGTTGATGAAGGGCAGTTCTACAACAGTTACTGGAAGTGGTGGAANGTGGGCAGTTATGATATTGAGACACAGTCAAGGCAGTTGCTGAGGCAGTTCTGGATGTTCCTAGTCTGAATCCAGTCTAGATGCATGTTGATGAAGGGCAGTTCCACAACAGTTACTGGAAGTGGTGGAACTGTCTGCCAGGTGTTGCACAAAGTTTAAGCCTGTTAGCCCAATATGCTATAGAATAGTAAAAATGTGGGTAACTACCCCTTGGCAGATGGGGGTGTCATCTGCCTTCCTCCTGTATAAATAGAGGTGTTTGAGCATTCTGATAGACAGAGAGTGTTATGGCTTTGAGAGTCCTTGTAAATTGTTGAGTTCAATATATAAGGTTTGAGAGTGTTGTCCCAGTAAATTCGTGTGCCTTCTGTGTGAGTTTCTGTCCCTTATTTTTGAGTTTGAGNCATCTGCCTTCCTCCTGTATAAATAAGGGTGTTTGAGCATTCTGATAGGCAGAGAGTGTTCTGGCTTTGAGAGTCCTTGTAAATTGTTGAGTTCAATATATAAGGTTTGAGAGTGTTGTCCCAGTAAATTCGTGTGTGCCTTCTGTGTGAGTTTCTGTCCCTTATTTTTGAGTTTGAGTGTGGCTGGTTGCAATAGCAACGCCTTCACAGATAGCCTCGAAAGAAAAACGAAAGTTACCGTGTGACATTATGGGACTAAGGACCATAAGGATTTATCATGAATTCGAATTTTGATAATTTTTTGAAAGTAGGTTATGAGGGATTCACTTCTCATGAATACCTCAGTCCTGGCATGTATGATCTATCTTTGACCGGACTGAAGAAGAGATTAATCGAGGTATACATAACCTGGCTCAAATACTCTTAACCGTTGAACAAAAAAAAAAAAAAGTACCAGCAGGATTAAACTGATGGAGTGNTTGGAAAAGTGCCTAGTCTTTAGGTGTCACACCCCAATTGACTTGGGTGCAAATGGCCGGTCTTGGTGACACCTTACTCCAAGACATACTAGAAATTAGAATCAAGGTGACGTGACTAAGTGGTTCGATAGATTGGGACGAACCAAGGCAGCATGAGACCACCCGGTTGAGTATGGCAGCATGTGGTGGGTGCATAGCTTCGGATTGCATGGCATGGGTTGAACCCAGCATGCACATTGGTTCGTGTAGCAAGGCTGACTACTGAATGTTGGCACATGACTGCTAAATGTGGGCACCTGATTGGCACATAGCTGCTCAATGCATATGACCAAGAAGATGTGGGCAGTTATGATATTGAGACACAGTCAAGGCAGTTGCTGAGGCAGTTCTGGATGTTCCTAGTCTGAATCCAGTCTAGATGCATGTTGATGAAGGGCAGTTCCACAACAGTTACTGGAAGTGGTGGAACTGTCTGCCAGATGTTGCACAATGTTTAAGCCTGTTAGCCCAATATGCTATAGAATAGTAAAAACGTGGGTAACTACCCCTTGGCAGATGGGGGTGTCATCTGCCTTCCTCCTGTATAAATAGAGGTGTTTGAGCATTCTGATAGACAGAGAGTGTTATGGCTTTGAGAGTCCTTGTAAATTGTTGAGTTCAATATATAAGGTTTGAGAGTGTTGTCCCAGTAAATTCGTGTGTGCCTTCTGTGTGAGTTTCTGTCCCTTATTTTTGAGTTTGAGTGTGGCTGGTTGCAATAGCAACGCCTTCACAGATAGCCTCGAAAGAAAAACGAAAGTTACCCTGTGACATTATGGGACTAAGGACCATAAGGATTTATCATGAATTCGAATTTTGATAATTTTTTGAAAGTAGGTTATGAGGGATTCACTTCTCATGAATACCTCAGTCCTGGCATGTATGATCTATCTTTGACCGGACTGAAGAAGAGATTAATCGAGGTATACATAACCTGGCTCAAATACTCTTAACCGTTGAACAAAAAAAAAAAAAAGTACCAGCAGGATTAAACTGATGGAGAGCAAGAACAAAGGGCTACCACTTTAGCAGATTATTCTATACTTCTGTTTTTATATTAGAGCTGGTTTCTACTCCCTTTCCCCCTTTTCCATAGATGCAGGAAGAAAAGGAGATAGATCACAGTTGGATGGATGTACCACACTTGGATATTGTATGTTTTGTGTACTACAATTTTTAAGACCTTTTTTCTCTGGATTATTCCATTTGTTTCTACAAAAATACAATATTTTCATCACCTTTCGAAAGTGTATCTATTTTTCCGCTATTCGAAACATACTCCGAAACATAACTTTGAACCATGGGTCCACTTAATCATCAAATAATGATTGTCTAAATAGAAGCATAAATCCATAACCTAAAGACAATTGCAACACTTGAAAACCCCCACTATAGTTTATTAATACCCTTTTCAACTTATTTTCTAGACTAATTTGGAGATTTATTTTGTAATCTAATTATAGTAGTACATTAGATCCTCAAATTATGTCACACTAGTTATTTTCTCGGATACAAAGCTAACCAACAAACNATAGTAGTACATTAGATCCTCAAATTATGTCACACTAGTTATTTTCTCGGATACAAAGCTAACTAACAAACCTGAGGCTTTACTGTTTACATGTGGTGGGGTTCCCGGAGAACTAACAAGGTTTGCTGGTGCAAGGAGGAGCAGTTACATTCATCCCTGCAGAGCCGTTCATGGTCAGTGTTGGTGGTGGCGGTGAGCTCACCAGACAAGGGTGGCCTCGCTTAGCTTCACGGATGCACTCATTGGAATATACAGTCACGCTTCCAGCAAAAGAGGCGTTAGCCACCACGACTGAGTTAGGAGAACTTTGGCCAGTTGCAGAATGGGATACAGGTGAGGGATTTCCATGAACTCCAATCTTACTTGGCTTATCTGCCAAAAAAAAAAAAAAAACCATAACCGTTACGTGGGTAAGAGTTAGGACTATGATATCCAATGAAGTAACAAATAAATTAAAATTCGAGAAAATCTAGAGTAGCATCCTATAACTTTTTTTGGGTAAGCGCTAACTTGTTTATAGAAAAAGGTCATTCTGCTATCAATGAAATCGAGAAAAACAAAAAATTAGACCAATGTATTTCATATAAATCGAGACTTGTAACTTGATTTAATAAAGAAAAAATTATATAAAAATTAACAAAAATATATATTTTTTGGGTCAATTNACTTTTACAAACCAGTCATGTGATATCCCTCTATCAAAATAAATTAATAAATCTGAATGGAATAATTGAATTAAAACTCTGTTAAAACATTTAGGATGTAATTATTGCAATTGAAACTTTAGAGACTAAATAAAAATTAGTTGTATGCTTTAAGGATATAAATTATAAATTACCCCAACAATTAACATCCCTAATAAATTTGACAATTTTTTTTTATTTTGTCCTCCAAACTATGTAATTTGTTTCATTTTACCCCCGACACATTGAAAATTTTTGTCGAAAAAGATAACTGACATTTACATACAGAGTAGTGTGAAATAATTCAAATAGTTGATGAGGCAATGTAAAACATTTAATAGTTTAAGTGGCAAAATAAAATAAAATCCATAATTAAAGGGATCAAAAGTATAAGTTTTCTAACTCGTTTTAAACGTTGAAAAATTTGCTTTTTCTGACTTCGAAATGGTATGTTGACTAAGGGGAGAGTGGCAAATACGTCGATGACTGCCAGCTTCATGGAGATGGAGATGTCTCTCGCATGACTTTTTGTGATCAAGCATATAATTATTTTTATGTATATTTACATAGTGATATATAAATATAATTAACTATTAAAACAAATAATAATATATCAATAATAGAGAAAAAAAATATATATAGAAAGTGTGAGGAGAAATTTAATAGAGGGTCACAATTCCCTAAATANATACATAAAGAAAAAATAACCAGTATTGAGTACTCTTGATTTTCTTAGTCATGCATTACTGATTACTTTCGAGTTGCAAAACTAACAAAAAGTTACTAGCTAGATTTTAGAAATTGACCAAATAGAATATGCCCATTTGAGAAGAGATGACATTTTTTCAGTCGCATGTAGACACTGAATTACGAAATTGATGGGTTCGGTTTTGGAGGGAGAANAAGTTACTAGCTAGATTTTAGAAATTGACCAAATAGAATATGCCCATTTGAGAAGACATGACATTTTTTCAGTCGCATGTAGACACTGAATTACGAAATTGATGGGTTCGGTTTTGGAGGGAGAATCGATTCGGTATTTAATACGAATACGCCGGCCTTAACGAAATATTCGTGTCTCATAGCCCATCACAAATTCACAATCAAACTTGAACAAATAATTTGCCAGTATTCTAACAACTATGTATTTTCAATTTCAGATGCTGTAAAATATACAACAAAGTCCAATTTTCTCTCTTCAACAACCTTTTGCCTAAAAGACTCGTATAATCAATGAGAAGTGAAGATCAGTAAGAATGAATTTTGCATTACAGGAGAATTTTGGTACAAATATTTTCATTGTCCTTCTTTCCTCAACCAAATCCAAGGAAATAAATCAAACTTCTATGATAAGGATTGAGACTAAACTGGTCTAAAGATTTACTAGAATGGGCTAACACGGCGAGCCAACTTTAACATAAATTCAGGTACCATTCGTTTTCTTGGAGCTGCCACCGAATCTTTTCCAAGTGCTTCCGAGTCTCCAGCGTGAATTATAGATACCAAATCTTCAAACATCTCATCTTTACCACCTCTCATTGGATCCTGAGCAGTAAATCATCCAAAAACTTTGGTAAAAAATGATAAAGGGATAGGTATACAAACAATGTATNGGGTTATATTTATATACAACTTTTTGGTGTGTTTAAAATTGATCATAAAATCTTAGAATAATTTTAAATTGACCTTAAATACCTCAAAAAATTATAATTTTATGCTCAAAAATTGTATTTTACAGTATTATCCACAAAGCATTTTCAGATTGGTACCCTTATACAAGAGAGAGAGAGAGAGAGAGAGAGAGTTACTGCTAGGCGTGGAGGCTAGTATCCGGGCAGACATGACTGGTTGGTTGAAGATGAGCCAAATCATGAACAAGTAGCATATGATCATGAAAGCAGAAGAAGAAGCAGCAGCAGCAGCTCTGTATGCCATTTTCATATGTGACTATGGATAGGATCACAAATACAACTTTATATATGCTTATGTAAACCCCCCCCCCCC